CCATGGCGATGAGAATGGGCTCCTGGAAGAGCATGATGAAGGGGAACGCGATGGTATCGTGCACAAATGTCTTTGCTTTGAGCGGGTTCAGCTCTAAAGGCGCCTTGTACTTGTCATCTGACGTCTCTTTTCTGATCCGTTGCGCCTTCTTCTTGAGGATTGCAGGAGCGTACGTCTCTTTGAAGGTGAAGATGGTGATGACGAGACAGACGCCAGAGAAGATGGCACAGACCCAGTACACCCAACGCCAGTCCGTGTTCGTGACTGCAATGGCGCCAGAGACGATGGGTCCGACAGCTGGACCAGCAAAAGGAGCGACGGAGAAGAAGCAGAGCGCAATGCCTCTCTGCTTGGGGCCCCACACGTCGGCAATCACACCTCCCGAGTTGGTCAGAGGTGCTGCTCCGAAAGTCCCTCCCAAGAATCGAAAGACGAGAATCTGGGCGGTATTCTTGGAGAGGGCACAGCCAATGTTCCAGCAAGTGTAGGCAAATATGGAGATGATGAAGACTGGTCTACGTCCAACGCGCTCCGAGAGCGGACCCCAGATAAGAGGACCAAGACAGTAGCCTGCTACCCAAAGACTGATTGTGAGAGTGGCCACCTCGGATGAAAACTGGAAGTAGGCGATCATTGGCTCCACGATGCCTGAGGGTGCGGAACTGGTGAATGTGGAATTGAGAACGAGCAGTGCTCCCATGATTGTCAGGTACGCCTTGTATGCGTTTGACCAATTCTGGAGTGGAGGGAGGGTAAAGTGGGGGCGCGGTCATCAGCAACGCGAATCGCCTCACTTTGGCTGCTCGAATTGCGTATTCATGCCGATACCCACTTGCGGATTCTCGGGATCATCTGCGCCTTCCCAATGAACAATGACCTGATCCTTTCCAGCTTGACTCTTGAACCTTTCCAATTCCAACTCTTCCCTCTCCTGACCAAGATCGCCTCCGAACGGATGCGCACTCTCCATGCGGCTTGGTGTCCGCGCGCTGAAGGTTCTGCTTGCGGCAATCGCTCCGCTCTCGCCAGGGGCGCGATAGACGGGAGGTTCATGAAAGGTAGTGGAGGGTTGTCTTCTTTCCATTGCTTCCGCTTTTGGTGAATCTTCCTTCAGCTCTTCCTTTTCATTATCCCCCTCAAGGTGGTCGTTAGAGGTGGTCGCTGGAGAAGCGGCGACGGGTCGCTCTGCATCATTCTTCTCGGTGACGTCGGCTGCATTTGTGGATGCCATGCTGGATGATGCTTGACTGCTGCGCCTAGAATGCCTGGTCGCTGCGATGGGTGGCAGTGCAGGTGTGTACCTGTCAGGATGTGAGGTGCGCGATGTCGGCGAGCGGGGTGACTCTGAAGACATCGTGCAAGGGTAAAAGGCAGAAGGCACGCTATCAGTATGTTCGGGGACGTGGGCACCGGTGTATGCGTTTGCACTGGACGCTGGACGCTGTGAGGAGTCTGGCTTGCGATGCTCACCTTTGTTTGGAATCGAGGGAGAGCAAGCTTGACTCTTTATAGGAAGTTGTGGGATTCGAGAGAAGGGGGAAGGAGAAGCAGGATGATGGATGTGATGTGCCTGGTTGAATCAGACCGCCGAGCGGAAGACGTCGACCGAAGTTGTTATGAGCGAAAAAATCGAGGAGCTAAGACATTCGCGTCAGACTAGACGTAATCGACCGAAGAGTCAAGAGTCATGCAGTCTGAGTCAAGAGCAAGCAGAGGTCGGAACAAGTTTGTGTCCCTTGAATTGTAGCGCGGGCGCGTAGTTCGGTGCAGTCGTGCACGCATCGGTGGCAGCAGCAGCAACAGACCGCTTTCCCCAATTCGGACGAATTTCCTGGTCCACTGAGCCGCCGGATTTTGCGAAGGGGAGCGGCTCAGCTAAAACTCGATCGTGACTACGAGATGATTACCGATACTCTTGACTCACGACTGACATCGTGCGCCAGAGCCCGCATCGCGTCGCATCGCATCGCATCGCATCGC